CAGGGTCGCCTGTGAGATTTCACTGTTGGGCACCTGAGCAAGGCCCCAATGTTCCAGGGACTCTCTGGTCATGCTTCCTCAATTGTGCGTCACTTTGGACAAAAGCACAAATTCCATCATTTGAGCCTCGCTTTACCAACCTCCTCCACAGCTAGATTCACGGACCCACCCGGGTGCAGTGGTAAGTACTGTAAGTAAGTACCAGGTTTGTGGGGGTTTTTTGGGGGGGGAGTTATGTTCTCTCTGTGTTCTGTTCAGACCGTCCCGGGAGCAGCAGGGGTTAAACGCCTTGGTTGAATGAGGTACAAACGATGGGGTTTGAACCAACATCTGTCTGATTATGTACACAGTCCTAAAACACAGAGCCCTGTAATGCTCCCACAATAACAGGCCCCATAGGAGATGTGGGAGACCCAGGACCTCACACCTGCATTAGCTTCAGCTACACCCCCAACTCCCTCCCGCAGTCTAAAAACATGCAGTCTGTTAAATCTGAAGGAAACAGAATGATTCTTTATTTGCCATTTGCAGAAGTACACAGGAACGTTTCTTTTTATGCTCACCTTTGTAACCTACATACATATGGGGCAGTAGTGGCCTAATGGTTAGGGAAGTGCACTTGTGCTTGAATGGTTGCTGGTTTGAATCCCTGATCAGCGAGGTACCTTGAGTAAGGTACTGCTGCATAATAGCTGTACACTGTTGTGGTGCATCAACAATGACAGTGAATCACTTCACATACAAATGAGAATGAATCTGGAGGCAGTGTCAGCCATTTATCCAGCACTGCCAGAATTTTTTTTTTTTTGGGGGGGGGGGGGTTTAAGCTGAGGATGGGATTCAATCTAGTACCTTAAAGCACATATGCACAGAGACCTAAAACTCTGACCCGCAGTCTCTCTTACTCACTGAGTCACAGTCTCATTACCTCATTCTGTAAACATGCAGTTTTTTAAAAAATATGAATTGATTATATATAGCGTGTGTGTGTCGTGGGCTGGACTGGCCCCCTTCCAGGGTATCCCCTTCCTCATGCCTCGTGTATCTCAGGCTAGGTTGCAGACTCACCGTACAGGGAATGTGGCTACAGAAGATGGATGTATGACTGAACAGCTCATGCTCTGCAGAATAACAACAGACCGGCCAACAGGGTTTCATGTTACATTACAGCATAGTTCCCTATTACTGTTGCTAATACTGCAGGCAAAATGCCACTTGGTACCTTTGAACATTTCGTACATTTTTTGGCACTTAAATATCATGTGACATTTTACCGATATAAAGGATTGTGAGTGTCTCTTTCAGATGCAGGTTGCTAGTCGATGATGATGTGCAATCCATTCACCAAAAGACCACCTGATGGGGAAGTTTTATGCATGTTAATACCAGCCAGGGTTAACTGCTCCCTGTCAACAGGTACGAACATCACAAAGATGCCAGCACATGCTGCCGTTTGTAGCTGTTCCTCATCAGGTTGCTTGCTTACCATTACAGACATAATCATAACCGACCTGCTACTGCTCCAGGCTTTGAAATGTGAAAAAATACATCAATGGGTAAAAATTCAATCATGGTAACACTTTGTAATCTATAATATCCATCCATTTTCAAAATCACTTATCCTTCTGGGTCGTGGGGGGTCCGGAGCCTATCACGGAAGCTACGGGCACAAGGCGGGTAACAACCCAGGATGGGGGGCCAGCCCATCACAGGGCACAGTCACACACCATTCACTCACACATGCACACCTATGGGCAATGTAGTAACTCCAATGAGCCTCAGCATGTGTTTGGACTGTGAGAGGAAACTGGAGTACCTGGAGGAAACCCCATGATGACATGGGGAGAACATGGAACACTCCACACACATGGAACCCAGGCGGAGACTTGAACGCTGATCCCAGAGGTGTGAGGCAACACCGCTAACCACCACACCGCTATGCCACCCCTTAATCTATAATAGATATCATACAATGCTTACACATTGTAACCATTTAGATAACTTCTTCATTGTACAGTGGTACCTCAGAACTGGAATTTAATCCGTTCAGAACTCCGGATCGAATCCTAAAAAGTTAGAGTTGTGATCGAATTTTCCCCATAAGAAATAATGGAAAACCAATTAACTGGTTCCCGGCCCCAAAAAAATTATACCTAAATATGTTTTTTTTTTTTAATTTAAACAGAAAATGAACTGTATAAAACAAGAAGAGCATATACTGTACTAAACACATATAAGCACATTTATCAAAACAGTAATTTGTAAAGTAAGAAAATAAATGTATCCAAACAATGTGTCCTGCCCCAATCGTCCGCTCCTTCCGTGTGCCACGCCCCCTCGTTAACCCCGTGTGGAATCCCCGTGTGATCAGCTGTTTCTGGTTGTTGTCATTAGTCCTCTGTATTTCTTCCGCGTTTCAGTTTGTTTCCCCAGTCCGGTCATTGTATTGTCCTTCTGCATTTTGCCTGCCTTACCTGTAATTAAACCCCATATTCCCCGATACCCTTGATGATAGACCCTTACTGTCTATCATTGTCTAAATGTATTTTTACTGTCTAAATGTATGTATTCAGTTAGTGTAAACATGCAGGATGCTATCACAGCAAATGCGAGGCTGAGACTGAAGCTTTACCCTTTGTTTCCGCTGAGAGACGTGCCACATGACTCATTTCCCCACACGTACAAGTTATCTTAGGTCGGCGTTCACGGTTTGACTTCTGAGATTCAGATCGAGCTCTAGGTAATTATTTTTCAAACTGGTTGGTTCGACTTATAAGAAATTCGAGTTCCAATGAGTTCGAGAGCTGAGGTACCACTGTATTTAATTATTATGTCATCCACCTTCTGTCCAGTGTCGCTTTTGCTCTTCTTTAAGCTTGTCACTGAGGAGCAGCTGATGCAAACTAAAGGAATAAGTCCTAGAACGACATTACGCAGCATCGGAAAGACAGCATATTCCATGACTCAGATTCACAAACATGGAATTAAGTGAGGCACCCCCACAATTTGCACCCGCACTGGTGGCTGTGACCTTTCCATTTCTTCATCTACTTATTAATCCCAAAAAAAAGAAAGAAAAAAAGATGCAGCATTTTGCTTCACGCTTGCCCTAATCACTGACAGGAAATGATGCGATCAGGCCATCTGTTCATCCAGTCACATGTCCCACGTGGTGCTTGACGTCACAAATTAAAATTGATGTTTTAATACATCCTGAAGTGCACATCCTTGAGGGAAGATCTGCGGTTCGCGCTTCATCTCATCCATCCGTCATCTGTTCCCGTTTTCCGTTTTTAACAAATCCAGCGTTTTCTGTATAGGATGTGTGCTGGTCAATTACTGAGAGCTGACCTAGGAACAGCCCGCTGAGAGGCAGGCCCTGGGCAGACCCACGCCCAGCTGACCTGGGAACAGCCCGCTGACAGGCAGGCCCGGGGCAGACCCACGGCCAGCTGACCTGGGAACAGTCCGCTGAGAGGCAGGCCCGGGGCAGACCCACGCCCAGCTGACCTGGGAACAGCCCGCTGACAGGCAGGCCCGGGGCAGACCCACGCCCAGCTGACCTGGGAACAGCCCACTGAGGCAGTCAGCAGAAACACCTGGGATCACCTTTGAGGTTTAGTGTGTGGCTTAGCCTGTGCTGCCTGTTCTCAGAAGGTTACTGGTTCAAATTTTCTTTTCTTTACCAAGAGGCTCTGTCTTGCAGGAAACTTTAACAAACATAGACATCCAAAGACATGTAGTTAGGCTAACCGGTGTCTATAAATTTCCTGTAGAGTATGTCTGTGTGTGTGTGTAATGGACAGCAGTGGAACTGGCATCCTGCCCAGGATGTACACCTGCACTGTGCCCTATGCTGCCTGGGATAGTCTCCAGGCCCCCCTGTGACCCTGACCTGGATACACAATTAGACGTTGGATGGATGGATGGATGGAAATACGTAATTACAAGCCATAGAAGCACGAACTGCACCCTGCGCACTTCTAACCTGGATTACCCCCTCATACTCACGGACCCCACATGAAATGCCCCCCGTTTTTAAGAATCACTGGAGAAAAATATCAGCCTGCCCTCTTCATCACTTTTATACAGCTTTCAGTTGTAAAAACACACCCAGCGATTCCAAAAGCAAGAAACATGACTTCACTATGAGCGTCTGCGTAGTGAAACGCCCGCGATGGGTCGGGAATTAAAGAGGCAATCGTGGAATCTCTAGCTCGGCATCCCATAATCACACGCTCCTACATTTGGATTGCAGGCCCTGGAGGCTCACTTTCACAGTTTTGCTTGTCGTTGCAAGAACGCATGGAGAACATATGTTATTAAGAAGCAGCAGAGGACTTCTGCCAACTACAGCCTATTTATAAGCATCATTGATAAAATTCCACATTGGATTAAAATATAATTGTTATTTTGGGACTTGCAGAAAGTTCTAAATGCCTGTGCGATTAAATGAGTTTTTAAAATGTCAAACGTACCACATGGTACTCAAACATCTGGCCAGAATCCACCCGATTTCCCTGCAAAATATTTACGCCGTATAATACGTCACATGTATCAGGCATTGTGGGAAATTCAGGAACAAGTCAGAATTACCTCAGGTTAGAGTCGGCTACAGATCAGAAACTGTCCTCGCATGGATGTCTTGCTAATTGCACAGACACGTGTGTGCTAGCAGGGAAATGATTGGATGATTAACACCGGCTTGACTGACTATGTCACAAGCTGGGGCACAGTAGCGGCATTCAGGCGGATTAGCACTTTGCAGCGCCCCTTAAATATATACAATTATAAATTTGCATAATGGGGGGGAGGGGGGGGCACAAGACAAAGGCAATCTATCCTGGTCCTTGAAAGAAGTTAAATCTCGGTCTCATTTTTGAGGTGTGAATGGGACATCAATTAGCTAAAACCTGTCAGCCAGCGGAGGCAGAAGCCAATCCAACTTCAGCACGACATCCTACCTGTACAGGTTAAACGGCCAGATTAAAAACATAAGCTGAAATCATAACCGAAGCATCTTTATTATATGGGATCAATCACCAAAGGAAATAAAATTAATTTTACACAGTTGGATAGTTCAGCTGCGTCTAACATGTTTATTTGAAAATTTCCACCCAGTGTAATGTATGGTAATATAGTACCTTTGTGTCTGAACAACAAAAGTGGATTTTAAACGGATTTGATTTTTAACATATACAATATACTGTATATACACACAAAAATACAATATATAAAAAATGAGTATAAATGATTTGTAATAAAAGTACCATATTTATAAATCTTTAATTCTCTAGTTCAGAAATTAAGCTTAATTTTAATACTAATAATTTAAACCAGTCTTTTATATGTATATATTGTTTGTATATATATATACACAAATCATAGATAATATAAAATTAACCAATTTTATAAATCTCATATTAAACATTGTGAAATATGGTACAAGAATAAAGAAAATATTAGGATTATATGACCTTTATATAACGATATCTTTTAAATTGGCTGTATTTTCAGCAGGGCTACCCCACAGATTTCTGGGGTTCCAATAACACTCCTTTCCTCCTCTTTTTGTACAGCCTGGCCAGTAGCTTTTCGAGGCGGGTCTTCAGAAGTCATGTGACAGCACTGAATTCGCTGCTCCACACGTCACGTCTCTACAAGTTCCAGTCAGTCTCCGTCACACTCCTGGATAGATAAAAAAAAAATTATAATAAATTGATATCAGGCATAACTTTTCGTTATTTTCATAAAACCAAAAGTAATTAAGTAGCCAGAACATTCATATCGTACGTGTATTTTTTATTCATTTTTGTTCCCATTGTTAAAATTACACTTGTCACTAGCTACAGGAAAGCATCCCTTAAATCTAATGCAGTAACACAGCTCTGTAAGCAGAAGAGATTCCAAAAAGGGAATTTCTAGGGTTTTTTTAACGCATTGCATAGTTATATAACCTCAACAGAACCCCAGGCGAGTGCAGGTATATATACCCATAAAGCAGTTAATACCACTAAACAAATCACTGCTATTCATGATTCCCCTATGATTAGTAAGGACACTAAAGTATATAAATGGAACTGCATAATCCCCCCCAGTGTGTAGATTAGGGCTGAGGGTAATGCACTCTGGGTGACTTTATATTCCAGAACATTACGGTTAGATCTGGAAGCTAACGTGCGATTTTCTGGGACGCTCCTCAGCTGTGCATCACTGCTCAGGCACTGTGGCACCACGCACGCTTCTCGCCCGCCTGCCTGCCCGCTCACCGCTACGCCCGCGCAGCCGGGGCCTTGTCCACGTGCCTCTCCGTGTCTGCTGGCGTCCGTCACCGCTGCAGGCGAGATTCTCCCCGATCCCTGACCTCTGGGAACCGCTTCTCGTTGCACATGCTCTCTTCCTCCCTCCACGTCCCGTATCTCCTTTTCCTTTATACAGCAGAAAACAAGGGGCCACACAAACAGGGACGTAGAAATGCGTGTGCGGTCCTGAAACAGAGGGGAGCTCAGACGAGACATGCCGATTCTGGGACAGGGTAGCGGCTCTGTACAAAGCACTGTTGCCCCCTCTAGGGTTGAAGGTTCGAACCACGCCTCCACTGTGTGTGTGTGGAGTCTGCATGTTCTCCCCATGTCACGTAGCTTTCCTTCAGCAGTCCAAAGACATGTAGGTATTCTATTAGGCAGCGGTTATTCAAGCCCCCAAAAAATTTGGGACGAAATCATAAACGGAGGGCTGGAACATTAAAATTACGGTGAGCCCAGAATTTCCTGTGCCCAGGTTGCATGTGTCCTTTGATAACCTGGCATCCCGACTAGGGTGTACTCAAACCATGTGCTCAGTGCTGCCTAGGACAAGCCACAGCCCCCCCCCCCCCCCCGATATATGCGAGGATGTTCACTCCCCATACACACAGCATATAAACACCACACAGGGGGGCTTGCTGGGTCAGCAGCGTTTCGCCAGCAGAAATGCCATGCGGAACAAAAGTGAAATTAAAATCCATCATGAGATACAGGCTGCACAGATCCGAGTTTTTCAATACAAAAATTCAGTGAAATTATAAAACGAGTGAGTGCACAGTGATCCCAATCCGCTTTCGCAACCTTTTCTTTTTTGGTCAAACCCAAAACTTTGCGGCAGATCTGCGAATCATCACAAATAAATGACTCAGATTTCAAAAAAATAAAACGAACATCAGAATGTATCAAGTTCCCCGTCAGCAGCCCAGCGTCACCATAAACCACAGCTGGAAACGCAGTCGGCTTTTATCAGACAGAGAGCAACCACTAGATTCTTTAGATGATTTTGTGTATTTTACCACCAACCAAAATGCTTTATCATTTAAATATGTGGCAGAGGCATTTTGCGTGGGCCAGGACGAGCAGATAAGGATGCATCCGAGTTATCTTGTAATGGATGCTTTATTTGATGAATTTCACTCTTAAAATGAAAAGGAAAAAAAAAAAAATCCAAAAAAGTAAAGGTTTTTAGTTTTGTTCTTAAAAATGTCTGTTTTAGATTAATGTGCCATCATCTATGTGACAAACAGAAACAGGGGTGTCGTTTTGGGTGGTGCATCGTGGACAGAGTAATGTTTTGTCAGTTATAAATTCTTTGTTTATATGTAGGCAGTTATGTGGTTAGGCTTAAATTCAAACAATCCTTAAAATTCTACTCCCATATTAAATTAGTGTCATTCCTGTGGACAACTGATGAAACTTAACTGCACACAGATTTTGGGAGGTACTGTAAATAAGACTATTGAACACTATGCAGATAAGATCTGTTTCAGATCACAAAGAATTCAACAATGGTCTACAGGGTATTTAGGATACAAAAAGAGGGGTGATTTTCCCAGTCTCCCTCACTGAGGATATCCGCTGCGGACCAGTTCTTTATTTTAAGTAACTAAAGGTATTTACCTTACTGATATTACTTGCAGCCATTTCTCAAATGGTGATGTATATTTTTCCAACCTTATGTGATGCTGTTGTTTGCTGCCGTTATGACTCAGGTGCATGAGATTTTCTGGCCTTTGTTTGCATCTTCTCTTGTAGAGCCAGAGAGAATTTTGCAGACACGGCATAACTTACCAGGCCTCTTGATTGTTCTTTAAAATCTTGCACAGGTAGTATGTAACTGGGCTTTGAGCAACCGACGCCGGGACCTTGGGTGAGGGACTGGGACCTCCTGACTGCCGAGGACACGGCCAAGGCGAACCGAGAGGGATTGGCGGGAGAGTATGGTTTGGGAGCCGCAAAACTCCTCAACTTCTCCAGACTCAGTCCAGGGGGAGGCGGCTTAGCGAGGGCTCCTGCTCGCTTTGAGATTTCAGGGGAGGGTTTTTCTTGAGTCCTCCCCACCCCCCGAGGGCTCCTTCCAGCCCACTCCTCCTCCCAATGCTCCGCAGGAAGACGAGAGGGTGGAGACGAAAGAGAGAAATTCATCTCGGTAGACTGTTCCCGGGGCAATTCTTTTCCCTGTTGCCCTGGAGCCCCGTCTGGGCTGGTGCTCACATTACTCACGGTCACTGAGGTAACGGGATACCCAGGTGTTTGTATGTGTTGCGGCAGGCGGAACGAGGCTGGCTTGGGCTTTGTTGCAGGTGGGATTTTCTTGCCTTTGATCTGAAGTGCTGGACCGGCCTTGATGCTTCCATCAAAAGTGAGTGAAGGTTCGTAGCCCTTGCCATCTCCTGCAGGAACTACAGGGGGAACAAGGTCTGGCTGAGTTGAGTCTACGTTGCTATGGCCACCACCGTCATTGATCATACTCATGTCATTTTCACAGCTATCGTGGCTTGGTGCAGGGGCACACGACTCCGACAGCTGCATCTGTCCCGACGCCATTTGATGTTTTCCAGTCTCTGGGGGGCTGGTAGCCGATTCCTGCTGCCCTACTGCACTGGGAGCCTCAAGCGTGACCTCCACCTCAAACAGCCTCACCTTCTTGAGGGTCTTCTGAGGGACGACAGTGAAGGTGGTGAGGCCCACCTTCGGCGTGTATCCCCGCGGGAACTTGACTGGCAGTTTGGGTTTGGGAGTCGTTTCCTTCGCATAAATGAGAGCGCCCTTCGTGACAGGTGACCGCAGACACTCGAATGTGGCTGGAGCAGTCCAGTGATCCGAGATGCAGAGCTCCTCCGTGGAGGTAGCCATGTCTTTCTTCAGCTTGGCTGCTTCAGCTGCTGCTGGCTCAGTAGTAGATGAAAATGCAATCTGGGACTCTTCTTCATGGATGCTGTGTGCATCTACGTTTAGGTCAGCTTTCTCCAGCTGGTCCCAGAAGGTGGTGCTGCCATTAAGCTGGTCCGAAGCACACGGCCCTGAATCCTGGGAAGGGGGGTTTGGGGGAGTAGGGCTCTGGGTTCGAGGTTGTTGATCATTATGCAGTCTAGCCGGACACTGTTCTCCATCCCCATCTGGGACCAGTCCGTTCTCAGAAGAGAGGCTAACCTGAATGTCCCTTTCTTCGGTCAGATTTGCCTGGGTCTCTGCAGAAATTAAACACCAACAACAGTGCATGACTGAATAGAGCCAGGAAACAACATTTACGTGATACAAATGAAGAAACAACGATTAGCCAGAATCATGTGGATGCTTTCAAACAAAGTGTCTGTAGTCAGAGATGTTACGTAAAGAAATAAATGCAGGTTTTTAAAAAATGTATTTAGGTATAAAAAATGTGAAATCATTTGAGCTTAGCTTTCCGCAATACTGAAGTGTCCAGACACCTGTGCCTCCCATTTGGGGAATATCAGTCTCTTCAGTATTCAGTGTTTGTTCCGTACAATGCTGGCTGGCCCCAGACTTCCCAACCAGTCTGTCAAAAGAGAGTTAAAAGATTTTCCAAAATATGATAATCAAGCTCTTTAAATGTACAGATATAAAGCCATCCATTCCCCAAGACATAAAAAAAACATAATCAATCACCATTTGCCATCACATGGAACTAAGATGGGGATTTTCATCTCAGCTATGGCTAGCCCCCACGTCAAGGGTCCTTATCAGGAGTTCGTACTTGCCATCTGAGGAAAGATCACTAGAATGATCTTCCCCCGTGTGCTCAGACTGCAGGGAGCTCTGCGTGTTGCAGTCAGCAGGATCAGAGGCGAGGTCTGCTTTCCCACAATCCACCGGGGCAGGGGGGGGGGCAGATACGGGGCTGGAGCTCAGCATCGGAGGAGAGAGTATCTCCTCCAGCTCGTGGATCTCCTCCAGCGTGCTCTGGGAGATTGTTCTTCCTATGCGTTGAACAGGTGCGAAAAAAAAGTGACATTTTAAATATACATTCAGGTATGAAATATAGCAAAACAACGAAATTATTAGTGAATATAAAAATACGACTTTGGGGACTAAGGACAATTCAGACAGTTTGAAAGTACATACAGCTACTGCCGCAAGCTACCCTTCTCCTTTAGCAAGGCTTGTCGCCGCAGGCCAAAACACCAACACAGTCAGTAAGGGAATGAGTTTTCACATCGGAGAAAGGGACACACTCCCCAAAGAACAGAAACCCACTACATAATCCAGCAGGATGAGGGGGCACTTCTCAGCCTTCCTACTCAGAATATGCTTATAGGGACGTAGTCCTTAAACTGTCAAATGCTGAAAACAATCGTCAATTATACTTACGAATCCCTGGTTAATTTTTTCCCCTGTAGCTACCTGATAGCTACCTTTAACAGATGCCTTAAAAAAAAAAAATTTTAAATTTGTGGGTTTGCTATGGGCATCCATGCAAGATCTGCGTTTGTCCAGATGTGGAAAAGTATTGGTAGACAGTCAAAAGGACAATGCAATCCTGCAGCCAATCTAGTATAAAAGCGAAGAAAATGGAAAAAGATCACAATCAGACAGGCTTTGGGGGTGATCTGAATTCTTTATTAAAACCAAACAAATTTTAAATGTCGTAAAGAGAAATTATGGCAAGCACACAGTAGTATTAACTGAAAAGCGTAAAACACATTGAGACAAAGAGAAATGCACAAGAAATGAGGAAAGACAAGGAACAAAAAAAGCCAATGATTTGATGATTAATATCCTTACAGTACGTGATAGGAAATGAACATTTAGGAGTATGACCACACATGAGCATGCAATCTATGAGCATTTCACAAGACTGGGAGGGGGGCGATGATGGCAAATTATGAGCCACCTTCCAAGGTATTCGAGCATTTCACGGTAATCAACCACCTACCAGATTTTACCTACCCCCCACCCCCCATATGAGCAGGCCCCTTCTCCTCTAAGGAAAAAGTGAGCGAGAGTATTAATCGAATGCGCTGTGCCCTGTGACACTTCTGTGACGGAACGCTCCGGAAAGGTCTCCAAATTAAAGGTCGCGTTCACTGTGCTCGGATATCGGATGGATTGAGTCGGGCCTCATCCTCTGTCATATTCCTACATGTCTCATTGGGCACAGATGCACAGCAGGAAAAAGCGATTAGCACATTCATCTACATTCTTCAGTGTTTCAGGAAAACTGATTTGCTTCCCTTCTTAACCCAAAAGTCATATTGGCAAGACTAAACTTGTTTACGCTTCCTGCTTTAAAATTTGTGCTACTGGACCACTGTTGAAGAAAACAAGCAAAATCTAATGCGAACTGTGCTCTGATTTTTATGCAAGGGGAAACCTTCTCTCCCCAATAAATAAATAAAAATCGGTGGCATGGCAACAGTTATTAAACCTTAATGACCAACTTTGTCATTACAGTGTGATGCAAAAGAATGAGATTAGAAACAATTATGGCATTTACCGCCAGTGACTGTGTGATTAGACTGTTAAAACGTGATTTGCAGCAGTCAGGAACAGTCTGGAATTTAACGAGGAAGGACACACAAGGAAAGAGCCACATGGGGAGGGGGAGGGAGTGGGGGAGGGGTTTGGAGAGATGAGAGAACGGCAGCAGAGGATGGTACAGCGAGTGGAGAGGCCCAAGACGGTCGCACATGCCCTTCCTCTGACTTTCAGACTGCGGTTTGGAGGAGAGGAATTGCCAGAAAACATCCTTAAGGGGAAGAAGGGAAAAAAAAATACTGAAAAAAGCACACTGACTGGGAAGGAGAAACACAGGACCGACAGCTATTTCATTCGGAAAGCATCTTCATTTCTCTACAACAAAGTCATTCCTTACGAGTCTACAAATACAACATTGGCCCGGGAAACCTGATTAAAGCCTAGATTGATCAGAAGCCTAAGCAGTGGGCATCTATCTTACAGGGTCCCTATGGGGTTTGGAGTCTACCCCTGGTAGCGCAGGGCACAAGCCTGGAGTACGCCCAAGATGGGATGCCCACCCATCACAGAACACAAACATGCACATTACAGGAGGAAAGCTATGTAACAGGTGGAGAACATGCCAACAAAGAGCAGAGAAGGGATCTGAACCCATAACCATTTAAGCGTGAAGCAATAGTGCTAATGAACCACTGTGCAGACCACCGGCATATACAGTCCAACAACAAATTAAAGCAAACCTACCAAGATGGACCTTAAACGGGATATGGTGGACCAGTCTTTCCAAACCCAGTCCTCGGAGATCACCAGCCAGTCCACGTTTTTGCTCCTTCCCAGCACTCGGAGCAAAAGCATGGATGGTGTGAGAGTCCCCGAAGACCGGTTTGGGAAACACGGTTGTAGACAGTCACAACACGAGATAAAAGGGCAGACAGGAAGGTGTACTGCGAAACTTAAAAGTGCACTACTGAGGAAAAATCAAAGGGAGTCATTCAGCCGCTTCATATCTGGCTGATAGCAGCCTGGTGGGATTCTGGCAGCCTCTTCCGAAACACCCCTGCAATAATTAGCCAGCAATAAAAGCCAGCTTTAATCTGAATCCACTGCAATTATTATGTAACCGCCGCACCATCCGAGGGAGCCCGTCTCCATTGGCTGAAGCCCTGGAAGTAACAGGCAGCCCTTCTGAGGTGCACTGGCACTGAATGAAAGGGGATCAAGACCAAATGCTGCACTCATACTCCTGCTGCGCTCGTTAAAATAGGAAATGGCTTTAACAAAAAAAAAGGTACAACCTATAATTTGCTTGTCTGGTTTGTGGTGCGTTTTACGTTAATACATATAACCGAGAAAGCAGACAAACTAATAACACTTCAGAAGATGTGGAAAAACAGCCTGATACCTCTGTAGCTAGACCTCAGAGATCACACTACATTTTTATGTTTGCTTAATATCGAAACATAACGGAAAAATATGACCAGAACAAAAGCAAATGAGATTACCTTTTATCGACTGGTTCAACTGGAAAAAATTTACTCAGAAAAGGGCCTGGGTTAAAAGCCTGGCCAGAATTTATAAAAAATTATATTGACCACTGGGGGGCAGAAGAGGCACACTAAAATTTGTCCCTTCAGGGGGAACAGCATTAGGCAGAAATTTAAGGTCTGTCAGAGTGTAGAACCTTTGGCGCTGATTTCCTGGCTTCCATATACAAACGTATATTCACAAGGCTGAAGGATCTGCTTTGTAAAACCTAAGAATCACATGACAGAGGAGCAACCAATCAGCACGAACCATTTACGCCGTCATCCTGATGAGGGGTACCCGGGGTGACTGTGCAGGGGGGCTGCGGCGCCCTCCGCTTGACCCTCTTCGTGGAAGTTTCAGGGGAGCCTGAACAACTCGACCCAGACAGCATCTACACAACAAAAAAAATATTAATTAACGATACACATTTTATTCTGATCCTATAAACAGTTAACTTAAAAAAAATTATGCTTCTGAACAGATGTAAATGTCTTTTCAAGCACTAAAATAACTTCCAGGACCCCAAGAAAATTCAACTAGAGGCACAGCTTCAGGTATATGGTTTATGTAGGTGGATGAAACTGTGCTAGTTGCTATAGCAACAGAGGTGGATAGTTCAGGTCCAGAGAGTAAAAATCCAGACCAAGATTTAGTTTCAACCAACCAGCTACTCATAAAGAGTCACAGTCACGGGGTACTGAACTGGCTGGCTGAAACAAAATCTTGGTCTGGATTTTTACTTTCTGCACCTGAACTATTTACCTCTGTACAGCACTGATGCAGAGAGGTCACATGTTATTCAGAACAGCTAATTGTACAGGAAGGCTGATTGAAGAGAATTTAAAAACTTTAAATTTTAACTTTAGATTTTTCCTAGAAGCTCTTGCTGAAAATAAGAGAAAATATTTTTTAAAAGTAAACACGTAAAGGCCCAGTACTGACTAGCATGCATGAATCAAAGTTCTCATCTACACAATCTGATGACGTTAAGGGGCCACTTGAACATTCCTTTCATCCATCCATCCATCCATCCATCCATCCATCCCTCCAAGCGCTTAAACAGTACAGGGTCGCAGTTAGCATAGCGTCGATCCCAGACAACAGAGGACACAAGGAACAGAAACCCCATTGATAAGACATCAGTTCATCATTGGGCATGCGCATAGGTCATGTATTCATATACTTATGGGGACTCTCCATTCATTTTTATGTGCTTAACCCTAGTCCCAACGATCACAACCTCAAGGTTAGGGCTGGGTAGGGGTTAAGTGCAAAATACAAAGTCTTTTGGCATTTTCAGTTTTTTGATTTGCACTCAGATTTTTAAATAAAATTTAGGTGATCTTTGTGGGGACCAAAAAAAATTCCCATAAGGTAGGTAAGTTACAGGTTTATTTTAATCACATTGTGGGGAAATCTAAATGTAAAGATTACAAAAACAGGACCGTCTGTGCGCATGTGCACGCACGCACGCACGCACGCACGCACGCACGCACACACACACACACACACACACACTCTAAATGCACATATCTGGAGAAGGAGATAAAACCAGGATTTTCAGGATAAACCCACACATCAAAGGGACAACCTGCAATCCTCAGACCAAAGCAGGCATGGGATTCGAATCCCAACCCTGGAGCTGTGAGGTGACCGTGCCACCTTCCCATAATTCCCCCGGTCACAGGGAGGGAATCAGCCAATGACAACTCGGAGCGGTTACCTGGGAATCGTCAGATAGGGCCTCTACTCGGTGACCATCAAGGCCAGACGGGGCACTCTGTGACATCATCATGGGCGGCAGAGGGGCCCGCCTCTTCTTCGGCACGTCGGTGGGCATGGTGTTGGAGCTGTACGCTGGGCCGCTGCTGCTCGTCAGGGTGGAGGACTGCTTGGTCACCGTGGGGGAGGCCGGCGCACTGGCTGCGGCGCTCTTTAAATGACAGGAAGTGGAAGACGCTCAACGCGCCCCCTCAGCGCCCTGAGCTCAAACGTAAGCCCGCGGAGCGGCTCTGTCACACATACCCGTTCAAGCCTCTTCTTGCTTCTTCTAAACATTCTGAACAATCCTTTGTTTTCCATCTCTTTTGGCGTGTTACCTTTGCTTTGTGGACTATAATTTCTTTCTAAAAACGTGAGGAAATGCTCAGTCAAGATTGGCAATAGACAGAGAAAAGACACACTGAGTCTATCATACACACATTTGTATAACTGGGGTATATATCACTGCTTTTGTCTGTCTGGCCTTTTCAGACAAACAAACAAGTTGCAGGGGTACATTAGTAATTACCTTGCAGGATCAGAGAGCGTTCAAAGTCTTTACTTGCATTGTTACCTGTTAACATATCAAAAGCAAATCAGTTTTGGTCAAAAACATTACATTTGCTACCCACAATGTACTTTTATATATAGTGTTGACTAGCAGCTACAATAGCAACAAGAATAACAGCAGCAATATCAACGTGCACTGGGGAAAAACACTGAGCTGTCAAGCAAATTTATATAACAATCCTGCTTATACCAGCCTGGTAGAATCACACCAGCTATTATCTGCAGCCCCAGTGTTTCTCAACCCAGTCCTTGGGGACCCCCAGACAGTCCAGGTAGGGAGCAAAAATATGGGCTGTCAGAGGGAGCAAAAACATGATCTGCCTGGGGGACCCCGAGGGCCGGGTTAGGAAGCACTGCATAGACCATTCTAATGCTTCCAAAATTCTCTGAGAATAATTAACCCCCCAATAACAATGGCTTTATCCATCGAATATTTGTCTATGCATATATAAAATCGATACACTATTTCAGTGGGGAGGGGTAGGCAGATCAGGCTGGATAAATATATACATGCCAAATAAATTACAGGTACAGCTGGTCATTTACCGTAGCCAGTAAACTGGGATTCTGTGCCTGGGATTACAGGGTGCAAAGAACAGGAGAGACCACGTACTGCTTATTAACAACTTGTAAAAGAGAGAGAGAGCAGAGTGAAGCTCATCTATCTAATATCAGGATTAGGAAGGAGACACTGCGGTAAGACACTGCGGTAAATTCCAGACTGTTCCTGACTGCTGCAAATCACGTTTTAACAGTCTAATCACACAGTCACTGGCGACCGAATCACACGGCAGCGTTCGACAGATCTGTACTCATTTAAGATTTTTAAATTAAAAAACATGGAAAGTTGAGGACAGAGGAGACTAAAGCAGTGAGAATTCAATCAGTTCCAGGCTATAATGTCTGGGAACATTTTTTAAATTGTAGGACTCATTCTACTCAAAGACAAAGCCTGTACTGTACTCCCATACACTATATATATGAATTATGCACTATACAGTTTTTATTCATAGATTTCTACCCACTTTCACAGAAGAATAGAGATAATACACAGACTGACAACTTAACACTAAACTGTAAAACACGGTATCACTACAATAGGGATCCTATTAATTCCTATTATCAGACTACTATCAGTGAATGATTAAATCAGTCTAATTTGCATCATTCTTTAAATTAACAATGCAGTTAAATCCTGCTGTCAGCCAGAAAGCCATATATAAGCTATGACTGAATCCAAGAGGAATCCAAGCTATTTTAGTTGAATGTGTGAATGTAATGAACTAGCTGGGGCAGTTTGAGTATCAATGGCTCATCGAACATCTCATTTAATATTGATATAATATTCTAATTGCCTTCATTTTTCAACAAAACATTTAAAACAATTGGCTACTCTTCATTCAATAAACCATGCTTTATTCATTGTATTACGTACAGCTGTACAATATGCACTAATTGCATTTGCTCCAATATTCCTTGCACATCTATCATCCACAAATGGACATTGTACATATCAAACCGTATGTCATCATCATATCTTCTCTAAACTGTGTATGTACCTACTGTATGTATGAGAACCTGTGACAACCGGAGACAAATTCCCTACGTGTGAACATACTTGGCCAATCAAACGGATTCTGAATCACATCATATCAAAATGCATTTATATGCGTACATCCATCCATCTTCCCAATACTTGTCCAGTATGAGGTCAGGGTTAGTCTGGAGTGCAGAAGGTGCAGACACAGGGAGAACATGCAAAGACCACTGCTCTGGAGGTAAGACTCTGCAGTGTTACCTACTGAGGCAGCGTGCCATCCCTGGTAAAGGGAGCATAATTTAATGGTTTAACTGGATGAGAACAAACCAACGCAAACATAATACAGCCAAAGCTCCATGAAGCTCAAACATGGATTAAATCATGGACCTCAAGGTCCAGGCACTGCTGATTTCGTAGCCTTCCTTTATCTGTGAGTAAGGTGTGAAGCCTCTAGCCAATCAGAATCAGCAATTATTAAACAAACTAACTAGGGGAAGAGAAAACAAGGCCTGGATTTGGAAACGAGATCCAGATTTGAAGAGCTCTGGACTGAAGAAACCAACTAAAATCTGCATTTCCAGAAATAAGTTAATCGGCCTCATGTGCCAGGTATTTATAGTCAATAGTGAACTAGAATGTTTAAGGGAACAGATGAATGAGTGCTCGCACCTTTTGATTCCTTGGCGTACACCTCCCTCAGGCCGAAGTCGTTGAGGGATTTGCTCAAATCCAGGGGCTCCGCCGACAGCACGTCCCTCAATAGAACCGTATCCTGGCACTCAAATTCACACTTCTCACAAATGGCTGGTAGGAGTTCCTTTAAGGGGACTTGAGGGTTCACCCTCAGAATGGTCTTCTGTGCCCTCTTGTAGTTTATTATCAGCCGAACCGTAGCCTGCATTGGGGGAAGGGGGGGTGGTTACAATGTGAAGCTTCCTTTATTGATTCTACGAGAGCATTAAAAATGCTGCACCTGTAGGCATTAACGGCTGTTTTGGAGCAGATCTCAAGCTGGCAGGAGATAAAGTATTGAGTAACTGGGGGGATTAGGGTGGAGGGCATGTGCTTCTTCCCAAAGAATGCAACAAAGGACAAAGGAGCTATAGTGTTTGCTGGTCTCCACTGTGAGCTAACTTACTCAGAAACCGGTGTACAGATTTATAATTGTACAAAAGAAACAATCCCACAAATTAGGCAACCTCCTTTGAGCATCCTACTCTAGATTTAATATAATATTCTAACAATACCGCTACATGGGACATAGGAGACGGACCAAAATGTGCTTTTAAGGTTTAAGGTCTGAGGCTTGTGACAGCCCTACTTAACCTCTGGGATCTGAGGGCCCACCGCCTTATTCTTATCGGCTCCTTTGGGCTTCAGCAAGATCTTTTCGGCCTCCAGGGCTCCTATGAGAGCGTTGGGCTTGAACTTGATGCGATTCTGATTGGTGGAGATCAGTTCGATGGCGTGGCTAGAGGGATTCAGGCGGTACTTGCCACAAAGCATGACCAAGAGGTCCATCATGGGCTTGCTGGAAAAGGAACAAACTCCAGTTAGAAAAACTCATGAAAAAAACTACGATAACCATTACCTGCTACGGACTAGGAGAAAAGTTGGCCGGAGGGTTTCTTTGAAGAGAAGTTCACTCAGTGGCACTCATCCAATCAAGTCATGGACAGAAACCCAAGAGACAAACAGCAGGAGAGAACAGATGCAATACTCACTCTAACAGGACCAATAAGGGACCAGAGAAGTCTGGCAACACAAACTTAAGCAAACTAAGCAGCCAATATGAAGACAATAAAGAAATAATAATAGGGTGTATCCACAAGGTTGGGAGGAAAGGATGACCAAGGAGCCAAACAGTAGTTATGAAAGTGGACGTACCTAGGATTTAGACTCAATTCATTTGAAAGTTATTGGAGTTATTTTTTTTTTAAATATAATTATGAAATATCATTCATAGCTTACAGCTATTATAACAAAACAAACCAAAAGCATGCAAAGAATGCAAATAATGCAATAAGCCAAAAGTAACGCAATTTTCTATTTGTATTTTTTACAATTTTATAATCGGCGGGTCTGGTATCAAAAATGGAAAATAAACCCTAAATTTGCATGAAAACCAATTTCAGCAAAGGAATCTGTACAGCATTTTGGGTCCGACAACAGACACCAGCCTGGAAGAGGGTCCTGAAACACGCAATGACTCCAACACTGATGATGTGCCCAACTTATGCATCAGAGGGTGTATGATTAAATGTACGGCATTTCGGAACCGTGATGTCCCATTTTATGCTCCTGCAGTTCTTGAAAAATGTTCAGATGAGCGATAGAATTCAGAACTTAAGCCTTGTATATTAAACCTCATTTCAATTATACCGAAGAAAGCCAAGGACAGTAACACCCTTTATTAAAATGTTTACCATCAGGTCTGTTACTGGAGGGTTTGGGGGATCATTGTAATAAACCTTTAATGTCATCTTTGAGCGCAATAGCAGCTATATTGAAGCCAATGGTGAAAGGTTTACTGTATGTGTTTGTGTTTGTTGGGGGGGGGGGGGCTAATACATTACCATCATGGATCAGCTCTCTGCTGCTTACAGTTCAATCCTTCAAGGTATTCATCAACTATTTTACTACTATTTTATGACCAAGGAAAAATAAACAAACGCCTATCTACACGAAATTAGGAAAGACAGCAAACTGCTGAAAGCATCAAGGAAACAAAGGCACATTGTTAATTGCCATTCACTAGGCTCACCTGCCATGTACCACAGCGGTCCTCTCAACACCCCCTGGAAGGACCACAGTCAGGGTCAAGTCCCTGTCGGTCATGTTCTCCTTCTGCTCCATGGTGACCGGCGGAAGACCCGGGAGTCGCTGAAGAGCCCTCGGGCTTCCTGAAGTTTGTGCACTGGCCGGGGGAGTCGGAGCTCTGCTCTTGGTGGATCTCCTGAGGGAGGGGCTAAAAATGGGAGGGGCTTAAGTCAGTGTTCCCATCGACCCTTTTCACACAGAAAGAACACAAGGAGTGTGCGGCGGCAGCTAAAGCGCGCGTTACAGGTCCTCCGTTCATTTAACGCAGGTCTCCTTTGATCCTGAGTTGGTACCATGGCAACAGATTTGTCCACACGAGTGATGAAAGTTCAAGACATGAATAGACTGCCAGCAACTGCATGTTTCAGGGGCTGAAAACTAGTAGCAAATTTAGGGTACTTTGTACTACTTTAGCCAGCCTGGGTGACAGCCAGCACAAGGCTATATCTATTTGATGACATACCTTGGGTCACCATGGTAACCACAATTCATTTGTGAGCCACAGGTAAAACAAAACAGCCTAGGGAATATCTTGTTCTGTAGCCGGTTTACAGCACCAAGTTATTACCCATAAAATAAGGAGTCAACCCTCCCTGACTAGGATTTTATTATCTATACAAGAATGGGGGAAATGTGCAAAGAAATGGCAATTGGGATGTTATGGCCCGCTCACTATCCCTGCTACACTGATTATTATGGTGGAAGAGGTGCATAAAATTAGACAGTAATCTAAACTTTACTTCTGGTGAAAATGAGTTTATGTCAAACAAACCAGTGTGATCGAATACACCACATTTCTTGTCAGTTCTTGTCATATATTTGCAAAGTCTACAAGAGAAAAGATTCTTACTACTAAATTATTTTAATGTTAATTCCTAAAAAACAGATTAAGGCAGGGATTTTGGCCATTATCCTATTTACATTACTATGGAGATTCATAAGAAATCATAGATTGGCAGGTCAAGTGTGAATGTCAAGCAAAACTGCGGCCTTGCAGCGAAACTGTTTGAAATAATGTTGTTATCTGGAACTTCTGGTACCATGGAAAGGATTTCGGTTAAACAAAGCCTTACACAAAATTTCAATAAAATTCCATCCAGTGACACATTACGAGAGCCTGAAACCACTTTTCAGCAAGGCACAGTGTGCTTGAGGGGGAACAGATGCATTTGCTCTGCTGGGGGAAAAGATCGGCAAACAAATATGACACACTACTGTCCTGGAGGGCTGAAGATAACAGCAGCCTGCGGATCATTTCGGCTCCAGCGGATCTGACCGTTCACAGAATGGCCCTATTGACCTAACCAGCTGTACCAGAGTGCAAATGCCATTTTACACAAGTCACTCTAGGTTCAACCCCCGCCCCTTAAATATTTCCCACAATCATCACAATACTCCTGGGACATGCTGAATTTCTGGTTTGATATTTCAGATGCTAGGTCATTCTTTTTATGCTAGTCAGATGGACGTTATAGAAAACAATCCACTCTACCAGGAAACTACTAGTACTGTTATGATGCTGTTAGCATTATGATAAATAATACTGGTACTAATACTATATAACAGTCAAGAGAGAAAATGGCATTCATCAGTATTTTCTATGAAAAGGTGGATATGTGAATTCATATAAAGGGGAAACCAATCCAACAAGCACAAGTCTCAGAAAAACATTACAATATCACACTGTTCTAAACATAGGTCTAAATCTCTGCTCTGATTACTTTTCAGTGCTACAGATACATTTTTTTCTATCTTGCTGATAGATGGAACAGAATCATAAGACAACATTAAAAGATTTTATAATCCAAACATTCCCAGAGAAGCTCAAAACAGGAGACCCTGCCAGGGCAGACTTAGGACTTTAATCTGCACATCGTGTTCAACTTGATTTTGTGATCCAAAGTAAATATCTGCATGTTTATCAGACAGGTTAAACTGTCACAGCCTCCAGAAGGGGGTGCAAATGCATCCTGTTGATTAGCAAATACAATTTGTCACTACATTCCAAATATATCCTAAAAACACCTTTGAGACCAGTTCAAGAACAAAGTTACTTTTAGGAGATTGGCAGGAAAACATCCGCTCAAAGCAGCTGTTACAGATATGCAGTTCTGGAGGGAGGCTTTGCTCTAATATCTTTTGAAGAAAATGCTAATAGTTCGCAGTGGTGCAAAAAATGCATTTACTGTATACATTTGTACCCTTGATGAGAAGGTTAAATGCTTCTCCATTCAAACATGCAGACTCCATGTTCACAAGCCTCCAGAAAAAATACAGAACTTCACAACACAGTTGATCTGAACTGGTTGTGAATTATTTCATGGTGTACGTTTAATTTCCTTGGCAAAATGTTCCCAGAGATCAGGAGAAATTTACCCAAATAAATACTACACAAAACCTAAAGCATGGTAAGTATACTGAGTACACAACTTTCAAAACTCACCTACATCTTTAATAATAATTATAATAAATAAATAAACTATGCTTGAAAACCAGGGAAGCTCTCCAATTTAAGCTTGCATCTGCTTCTCACATAAACAGTAGCATTATTATAATAAATGCCATTTGTATATCTAGCTTTAAACTTTTAATTAGACCTTCAAAATATATCCAAAATCTGTCTCACATGGAGGCCAACTCCAAATAAGACTAAAATACTACAATGTTACACAGTTATTCAAGGTTTAAGACATAAAGCACCAGACATGCCACATGACTATTGTGGTTTCAGATTAGTAATGTTTTGAAAGCTTCTCAGAGGGAATGAAAAACAAATCAATTTCAGACATAGTAAACCTCGTTAACCTCGGCTTGTGTCAATCATACCTAAAGTAGTAGGAAGAGATACCTATAGAGCAGGCATACAGTGGAACCTGCTTATAGTGATCACGGTTATAGTGATCAGCCCGGACAGAATCATTCCCATACAAATACTGTTTAAATTATTCGCTTATCGTAGTCAAGTAGTCCGCCTACAGTGTTCATTTTGGGTCTTTTTATACATGACAACACATAGAAAAAATAAAACTATGCTAATTCTTTAATTTTTATTTAAAAAGAAAAAGAAATAAAGAACTTTACTTTGATAAGCCGACTTTGCCTTACAGTAACCGTCTCCTCCGGCTAGTTATCTGAGGCTAATGCTGATGGACAGAGAACATGATGGGAAAGTCATTTTCTCCCAATGACAAATAGAGTCATCGAAGCTTATGATAAACTGCTAAAAACGAACCAACGAGATGCAACGGCGGAACTGCAATAGACTATATTATGTATAATACTGTACTGCACTGAAGCGCCGAGCATACCAAGGAATGCCGACAGTGGCGAAGGAAAACAACGAGAGACAGACTGACACCAAGTTGTTCTTTATGTTACTCCTTAATTAAAGCGACCCCACAAGAAGCAACAGTAACGCGAAATCCGCGCCTGACAGACAGGGGGAAGTTATAATAAGGACGGTAAGGCACATACACGGTGGGTAATTACACAATGGCCAAGACACGGGAGGATCAGGCACAAACCGAGTACAACTACAGATAAAGGCACAGGCGACAACCGGATACACAGAACAACAAGTAGCCTATGTACACTAAAAAATACAAATCGAGGCTATATATAAGACATACACGGGGCTATAAATGTGTGATAGCGAGGCATGTCGGGACATGCAGATGCCGGGGGTGCTACAGTATTATAGTGTATTTTAATTAGTATTAATTTAATTAGTACAGTAATTTGAAAAGCGTTTGATACAGTTATACTGTATTTTGAAAGTCAAAATTCTGTAGTATAGTGTAATTTTTGTAAATGTCCGTTTTATTACTTTATATTTATGTAATATACAATTATACACTATGTAATGTCAATTTGATGGTAGTCTGCCTGAGACATAAAGAAAAAGGAAAAAGAAAATTGGTTAATATGATCATCCGCTTATAGTGATCAATTTCACCCAGACAGACATGATCACTATAAGTGGATTACACTGTGCTTTAATATGTTTAAATATTGATTTCCTAGCATATAGTGAAGAAAGACTGCAAAGTTACTTTTGATAATACCCTTAGTTTACCACATACTTTACACTGCACTACTTCTAAAAGAGTGAGTACATTTTAAAGGCTGCTATTCGGAAATCTTATCTACCTCTACAAAAAAAAAAAAAAAACCCACACAAACACAAGGTACATGCAGTTCTCCATGTGTGAATTTGTCCAGTTTTCAAGGTTAATCTCCTCCGTTTGTTAATACAAATACAGAAGTTTAGTCTCTTCCCCCTACTTTTAAAGATTAAAGATCTACGATAGATTTAAAGTTCATGTCAAAAACCATACATTTTCCATTTATCACGCCACGGACTCTCAATATTGTACACACGTTTCTTGTGTTTAGCTGTGATTTAATGCATTTTCGCTGACCACCTGGTCTGCATAAAGCATATTTAGCCAACCAAACTACATGTGCATGCTTGCAGTAGATAATTTAGCTACGTATGGGATGTCATATCTATCTTGAGAAACAAAAGAGCTGGGATGAAGACGATACTTCTCTGGAACTGACTGCAAATTATGGGTACTTACAGTTATGGGTACTTACCAGCACACCAGCTCCAGCAACATCCAAGCAATGAAAAGACAGACAAAAAGCAAAACAGGTGTACAGTTAATTATATCACTGCATCTGGTATTTCAGATGACAGCAGTGTTTGTAGTGGGCTAGTACTCAAATTAAGTTACAGTTAATTGCTAAAGGTGGATTAACGGTGGCTTCCCTCAATATACCAAACAGTATTTATTATAACCTCTGCAGGACCAGCTGTTATTGCTGAACTCACAGCTCTTGCCTCAGTACCTTAACATGACCACTGGTCTGTTTTTAAATGCTTATAGTTTCACCAGTTGCTGTGCTAGTCAGTTGGGAATACACATGCCAACTGTCACCCTAGTCTGTGTGCTCCATATACGGAGGACACCACTTGAAAAAACACATTTGCTACAGTCTTTGAGAAAGATCCACACATTAATTTAGTCTACGGCAATGATATACATACAAACGCATTATTTAAATTATTCAGTTTCCATCTCGATTAAGGAAAATAAAAATCTGACCCAGCTAAGATTAATCATGCCAGCTGGACTGTTAAAG